GAGAGAGAGAGAGAGAGAGAGAGAGAGAGAGAGAGAGAGAGAGAGAGAGAGAGAGAGAGAGTATGTGTGAAACAATATTCACCGGTTTGCAGTAGCTGATGCAGATCCCAGGGCTCGATCCCTAGTTCCCCACCTTACCTGTGTACAGTATCTGTGTCAACCCGTAGAGTTGAACCTGCAACCTGTAGGACTGCCAGTGGTAGGTAGGATTTCGTGGGTCACAGGGTAGAAGGGATTCGAACTGTAGACCTGTCGGGTAGGAGTCTAGACAGTCCAGAGGTCGTAGCTGTAGACTGTCTGAAGGGTCAAGGTCGTAGCTGCTACTTACCTGAAAGGGCAAAGTCGTAGCTGCTACGGTACCGAAAGGCCAAGATAGAGGTTTCTAGAAGTGGCCTTTCGGAGTCAGCCTACGTTAGGCAGAGGCAAGTGGTCAAGTGGTGGCAGTCCACCTCGTACAGTCAGCAGTCCCAGTCCACTCAGTCCGGTCCAGTCAAGCAAGTACCGTCTGGGACTGTGTGCACCATGGGCCAGGGGTTACAGGGCAGACCAACGCATCACAGAAGTATAAATCAAGAGGCTGCGCCCAACCTTTCATTCATTCATGCGGAAGCCATGCGGAAGCGCTGCCTCAGCGTCTTGTGCAAGGAGGTCTGCAGGAGGCCCGAAGACGAAGTGGGCGAGAGTGAAGCAGTGTAGCCATAGCGATAGGTAGCGGCAGCCATAGCTGCCATAGCTTAGTGTAGAGTGCAGTGTGTGTGCACTGTGTGAGTGTTCAGAGTAATGTGCGTGGGACATCCAGTGTGATCCAGAGTGTGAACAATGAGTGGTTTGGGCGCTCGGTCGCCATAGCCATTGGAAGCGAACAGTTACCAGGAAGCCATATCTCTAAGTTCTGTGTGGGCGCATGTCGCTAGTGTGCTGTGTCGCTGTTTACATACATGAAAAGAGTGAATAAGTCGAGTCTGATTACATAAGTGAGGAAGAAGAAGGTGAAGGAAGGGGAAGAAAGTGACGAGGGTGACGAAGGTGAAGGTGCCGGCAGCCATAGCCGAGGTGAAGGGTTGACGTGGCGTTGACCAGAGGGTTGACCAGGGGTTGACCAGAGGGTTGACCAGAGGGTTGACCAAGCGTTGACCAAGGGGTTGACTGAGCGTTGACCTAGAGTTGTCCGCGTTGACTCAGCGTTGACCAAGGCGTTGACTGGAGCTGCTGACCAAGATTCTGACCAAGCTGGAGTTGGTGATATCTCGCTGAGCCCTTGGCCTATCCCTTACCCTGTGGATGTGCACACACCCTACGGTACTTGCTGAGCCTGAGTCTATCTGTCTTTCCTTTCTGCATTGAGTCTCTTCTGTCCTAGGTGTTAGGACTCTGTGAATGAAGGATAGGGTTGGATGACGAAACCTTAGTCTGACTTTGTAGGGCTGAGGCAGGCACTGATCCAACTTTCCAGGGGGGCATAACCCTCCCAAGGACCGGTGCTGACGGACTGGAAACGGTTGGTAGGACTCAGTGGGCCTGAACGACAGCTAAGGTTGACACACCAGCTAGTCTTTAAGTATTGAGGGCCTGTTTGAACCACCCCCCTACCGGACCAAGTAAGGCTGATGATCTGTGTCTGACGACTCGACTGTCCCGGGGGACACGAACCCTTCCAAGGACCGGTACAAACCGGCGGGCTGCTCGGTGTGGCACTGCAGGTCGGAAAGGCTGAGTTGTGGGTTGAAAGCACAGGTAGAACTACGCTGATCACGTTGTCCGGACTGCGACGTTAAAGAATTCTTGCGGAGTTTGGGGGATCTCCTTAAATGCCTCCAGATCAGCTGTTGGTTCAGTAGTGACAGCCTTAGAGTAGTTTTGAGTAGTGATCCTAGAGAGTCAGCCAGTAGGTCAGTGTCCGGGTAGGTCTAAGTGGTGAGGAGTGGGACTCTTGTAGTGCACCTGACACCATGATGGATAACTATCCGATGTATGGGTTGCTCGTTGGGTTCTCCCTCTGGGGGACCCTTTGGCGTCTCCTCTTTCCTCTGGGTTTTTGACCCACTTTTACGTGTAGAGTAGGGACCTGGGGTGGCACTTCCACCCAGCCGTACACGAAGGAGGAGGAGAAGATGGCCGCCATCCTGAGGGAAAGAAAAGAGAAGAAAGAGGCCAAGAAGAAGGCCCTACAGGAGGAGCAGGAGGCCAAGTTGAAGAAGATAGAGGAAGAGATGGCCAGAGAGAAGGAGAGAATAAAGAAAGAAGAAGAGGAGAAGCTGAAAGAGGTGGAAGAGGAAGAGGAGGAAGATGAAACGCCACTGCAAAGGAAGAGGGGGCAGTACAGTGGCAGCAAAGATTATGAGATGGAAAAACGGATTTCAGAGTGGGTCGCCAACCTATCCCTGGGCGAAGAAAAAGAAGTGGCGATGTATATTCCCAAGGATGAGCAAGAAGCCGCTATGAAAAAGTGGGACGCAGAAGAAGATGTCCTGAAGCGGCAGGCGTTGGAAGACGAGAAAAAAATGGAGTGGAAACTGGCAGTGATGAGGGAGAAGAAGAGGAGAGTGGACGCTGCAGCAGATGCGGCGGAAGAATTGGAGGAGGTAAAAAAGATAGAAGAGCAATTAGCTGCCCAGGATGAACTCCCAAAGAAAATGGAGGTCATAGCCCGAAACGTTGCACGCTTAGCGCGAATTCAGGCAGAGCAGTATGACTTCAGTAGGAGTCAGCATATAGTTGTGCGTTCAATACGATTGGGATTTCGGGACTTTGCTCGTGAGCTGGTGGGAGTTGTAGGAACCGAGGTGGGCCATCGCCTCGACAAGACTGAGCGGTTTTGTGCTGGCGCCATTGAAGGCGTCAAGGCGGCAGCTCCCAAGGAGGAGGAAGCACGTCCTCGCCGGGAGCCGGTCAAAGTCAAATTCCCTGATTCCTACAGTGGAAAACGGGAAGAAAACTTTGACAATTGGGAGGCCAATGTCAAGACCTATGTGCATTTGCAACAGGTCTCCCCGGATCAGCATGTTCTAATTGAGATCCACGCGCTTAGAGATGAGGCCGCCAGCTTCGCAAGGTCCCTAGTTCGTGCTGCCAACTGCAATTATGATGCAGTTGCGTACTCGTCGTTCACTCCCCTCATCGATTTCCTGAAGTTGCTGTGCGAGCGATTTGCTGATGTCGCTCGTAGTGTTAAAGCCTCAGATAGGCTGCAGACGATCCACTCTCGTCAGTGGAAGAGTGCCAGGGCACTCAAGAGCACAATGGATGAATTAGTGGTTGTACCTGACCACGGGGTCACCGACACCCAGTTGGTTGCCCTCTTCTATCGGGCTATACCCGAAGCCTTTCGAGGGCACTTCTTCGCGAAGAGCGAAGACCCTGCCACCACTTATGATTCCCTTAGCCGTGAGGTGGTAGCCTTCGAGGCAAAGTCTGTGTCAGTTTCCACCTTCTGGCACAAGGACTTGGACAAAGGCAAGAAGTGGAAAGGCCGCACTATCTCTGGGCAAGTGAAGACTAAGGATAGTCTTGTCCTAACTTTAGACGAGGGTAGTGTGGATGAGATCCCCTACGACCAGATTGAGTGGGGGTTAGAGGAGGAGGACAGCGGTGTGGGCCAGGGGAGAACTTACGCTGCTGTCGCGGCTAGAGGGAGGCCGCAAGGAGGAGGACGAGGCCAGGGCCAAGGGGGCCGGGCCTCAGGGAGCCGGTCTCAGGGCGATCAGGGGGTTGGCGGCAGAGGAGGAAACGGCCAAGCGGGAGGAAGGGGTCAAGGTCCCCCCCAAAACCGTCCTAGGAACAGGTCTCCCTATAGGGTAGGAGGATGGCACCCAGGGCTACCGCAGGGAAGGCCTTGGGAGACTTTGGGTCTGGACCAGAGTCTATGGCAACAACGATTGGACCGGGGGCAGTGCATTTTTTGCGGTGACCCGGGCCATATCATTAAATACTGTCCTAAGTATCGAGAGACCCGAGCGGCTGCTCAAGGACCAAAAGGCAGCCGCCGGTAGGGGTAGCAACTGCCCTTACCACAAGGCCATGTGGGAAAAATAGCGCTAGCCGGCAGGAGACTCCCACACCACATGTGCCTATGGCAGAGGTTGCAGGCCTGTGTCTAGATAGCTGTCCAGAGACTGCTTGTGTTAGAGTCTCTCTAGACACATCCCTCGCAGGCGTGGCCGAAGAGCTGAAGGAGAGGATGCCCGCCTGGGCCAAGATGAAAAAGGAGAATAAAGGGCAGCTCATATTGGTAGATACAAAGATTTTTAGAGGTAGAGTCGGCGCTTTAGTGGTTAGTGGAGCCACTCCTAGTTATATCAGTAGGAAGGCGCTACATAAGCTGAAGTTGCAATTAAAAGTCCAAAAGTTAGCAGACCCTGTAGTCAGTATCCTTGCGGATAATCGCACGATGCCGGTAGAAGACTACGTAGAGGGAGTCCAGGCGTATTTCCGCCTAGACAAGGATGGGAAAATAGAGAAAGTTCTCCATTCCCTGACTCTCCTCGTAGAGGATAGCCTCCCATTTGTTTGATATAGTCCTGCGTATGGACTGGGGAGAGGCCGCCGGGGCCACACTCCACTTGAGAGAGCATGAGTGTAGGCTCCCTAGCTCGTCAGGCGATGTCAACACTGCGCGTCTGTACCATGTGTCAGGAGTAGATAACTCCTTGGCACATTGCTGCCTTAGTGCTCCTGCGTTTGCACGATTAGTGAAAAAGGAGCAACTAGAAGAACAGGTTTTCATAGCCTATGTTAGGCCAGTCACTGAGCCTAAAGAAGAAGAGCCTATAGACCCTGCTATTGCCCAACTGCTTGAAGAGTTTAAGGACCTAGCTGAGTCGCCGACAGGAACAGTGTCGCGGCCCATCCAGCACCGTATTGAGATAGAGCCTGGCAGTAGAACTCCTAAGGGCGTTGTGTATAGGATGTCCCCACGGGAGTTGGAGGAGCTTCGCAAGCAATTGGACGAGCTCCTTGAAAAGGGTTGGATTAGGCCCAGTTCGTCTCCTTTTGGAGCACCTGTTCTCTTTGTCCCCAAGAAGGAGGGAGAGCTAAGGATGTGTATAGACTATAGAGGTCTGAATGCTATTACATTGAAGAATGCTGAACCACTGCCGAGGATAGACGATCTTCTAGATCGAGTGCAGGGGTGCAAGTATTTCTCTAAGATAGATTTGAAGTCCGGATATCATCAGATAGAGGTTCACCCTGATGATCAGTACAAGACCGCGTTCCGGACTAGATATGGGCATTATGAGTTTATAGTGATGCCCTTTGGACTAACCAATGCGCCAGCAACTTTCCAGCGGTGTATGAATGACCTGTTTAGGCCTTGGTTAGATAGGTTTGTCGTAGTTTATCTAGATGATATATTAGTGTTTAGCAGGACCCTCGAAGAGCATCAGGGTCATCTCAGGCAGGTCCTGGAGAAGCTGAGGGAAGCTAACTTCAAGATTAACGCAAAGAAGTGTGAGTGGGCGAAGACCCAAGTTTTGTATTTAGGCCATGTCTTAGATGGAGACGGCATCAAGCCCGAAGACAACAAGATTGCAGCGATTAGAGATTGGCTGACACCACGTACGTTGACAGAGTTGCGGTCGTTCTTAGGCGTAGCGAACTACTATAGGAAGTTTGTGAGGAACTTCTCCACCATCGCTGCACCCCTTCGCAGATTGCTCAGGAAGGAGACCATCTGGAAGTGGGATAAGGACTGCACGTCTGCTATGAACAAGTTGAAACAGCATTAATAGAATATCCAGTCCTTAAGGTAGCCGATCCATCCTTGCCCTTTGTCGTCACTACGGACGCTAGTCAGTATGGCATAGGTGTTGTGTTGCGGCAAGACGATGGTCAGGGTTATAGGCCCGTAGAGTTCATGTCCGCTAGAATGCCTTCAGAGAAGGTCGCGACATCTACCTATGAGAGGGAACTCTACGCTCTCAGGCAAGCCTTAGAATATAGGAAGCACTACTTGCTTGGGAGGCACTTCAAAGTCTATTCCGATCATGAGACGTTAAGATGGTTAAAGACGCAGGCCAAGATGACACCTAAGCTTACTAGGTGGGCCGCAGAGATAGATCAGTATGACTTTGAGCTCAAGGCAGTTAAGGGAAAGTATAACATAGTTGCGGATGCTCTGAGTAGGAGAGCTGATTACTTTGGGGCAATAGTGCATTACTTAGACATAGGGAAGGACCTGCAACAGAAGATTAGAGAAGCCTATGCGCAGGACCCTATCTATAGTGACCTCCTCAAGAGGGTCAAGGAGGCCCCAGAGACTGAACTGAATTACCGCACTACTGACGGGTTGCTTTTTGAGAAGACTAATGTCTTTGACCGATTGTGCATCCCCAATAGCGAAGAGATCCGTAGTCTGATTTTGGGATAATGCCACGACACCGAGGGTCATTTTGGTTGGCAAAAGACTTTAGCCAATCTGATGCGCGCATATACCTGGCCAGGGATGAAGAATGACTGCGTAGAGTATGTTCGTAGTTGTAAAGTCTGCCAGCGTAACAAGACTTCTACGCGTGCCCCGTTAGGTCTTCTCAGACCCTTGCCCATTCCGGATCAGCCGGGAGACTCAGTGTCCATCGATTTCATGGACACCCAAGTCAAGAGTAGGCATGGTAAGAGCCAAGTCATGGTCATAGTTGACCGTTTTAGCAAATATGCAGTTTTTGTTCCCTTGCCGTCAGAGGCACGTACAAATTTAGTGATACAAAAGTTTTTTGACTGCTGGGTTAGTGAGAATGGAATCCCACTGTCAATAGTTAGCGATAGAGATAGTCGCTTCACCAGCCAGAACTGGCAAGAACTCATGGGAGTGTATGGATCTAAGTTGTTGATGTCGGCTGGCCGCCATCCTGAGACTATCGGTCAGACAGAGCAGATGAACAAGATCCTACAGCAAGTTATGCGCATGTACATTAGGCCAGATCAGATTAACTGGGATGAGATGTTGCCTAAAGTAGCTAGTGCGTATAATAACAGCGTGCATTTGTCCGCCTGCCGCACTCCCAACGAACTGCACAAGTCCTTTAGACCGCGCAGACCGTTTGAGGGACCCAACCGGGATCAGATTCACAGATTACCGCACGGGACCAGGGAGTTTGCTGTACAGCACGAGAAAGAACTAGCTACTGTTGCAGAGAACCTCAGGAAAGCCCAGCACAGAATGATAGAGCAAGCCAACAAACATCGTCGCCGCTCACAGTTCCAAGTAGGCGACTTAGTCTAGGTCAGTTCTAAAGAGTTTGCACTTGAGGAGAACATCTCGCAAAAGTTGCTGCCCACCTATAGAGGACCGTGGCCAGTCTTAGAAGTCAAGGGTGGCGAAGATGGTCCATCCTACACCATTGAACTGCCCCTACACCTCCACACCTACCCAGTTTTCCATGTGTCAAAGTTGTTGTCGTGCACAGTAAGTGATCAGTTTCCATCTAGGCGATCTATGATCCCACCTGGCATGGACGGGAGATACGACATTGACGGCATCGTAGGTGAAGATGTGTTCAGAACAGGAGGTAGAGGTCGTCCTCAGAAACAGTACAAAGTCAGATTTTCATATCAAGAACCAGAAGACGACCGGTGGTTCACTAGGACTGAACTTCTAGAGACGGCTCCCGACATAGTCCGCGCCTACGAAAGAGATAGGAAAGGTAAAGGTCCTGCCTTGGACTGAAATTTTCTCGGAGGACCTCGAATTTAGGCCGGCGGGAGTGAAACAGTATTCACCGGTTTGCAGTAGCTGATGCAGATCCCAGGGCTCGATCCCTAGTTCCCCACCTTACCTGTGTACAGTATCTGTGTCAACCCGTAGAGTTGAACCTGCRACCTGTAGGACYGCCAGTGGTAGGTAGGATTTYGTRGGTCACAGGGTAGAAGGGATTCGAACTGTAGACCTGTCGGGTAGGAGTCTAGACAGTCYTGAGGTCGTAGCTGTAGACTGTCTGAAGGGTCAAGGTCGTAGCTGCTACTTACCTGAAAGGGCAAAGTCRTAGCTGCTACGGTACCGAAAGGCCAAGATAGAGGTTTCTAGAAGTGGCCTTTCGGAGTCAGCCTACGTTAGGCAGAGGCAAGTGGTCAAGTGGTGGCAGTCCACCTCGTACAGTCAGCAGTCCCAGTCCACTCAGTCCGGTCCAGTCAAGCAAGTACCGTCTGGGACTGTGTGCACCATGGGCCAGGGGTTACAGGGCAGACCAACACATCACAGAAGTATAAATCAAGAGGCTGCGCCCAACCTTTCATTCATTCATGTGGAAGCCATGCGGAAGCGCTGCCTCAGCGTCTTGTGCAAGGAGGTCTGCAGGAGGCCCGAAGACGAAGTGGGCGAGAGTGAAGCAGTGTAGCCATAGCGATAGGTAGCGGCAGCCATAGCTGCCATAGCTTAGTGTAAAGTGCAGTGTGTGTGTACTGTGTGAGTGTTCAGAGTAATGTGCGTGGGACATCCAGGGTGATCCAGAGTGTGAACAGTGAGTGGTTTGGGCGCTTGGTCGCGATAGCCAGTGGAAGCGAACAGTTACCAGGAAGCCATATCTCTAAGTTCTGTGTGGGCGCATGTCGCCAGTGTGCTGTGCCACTGTTTACATACATGAAAAGAGTGAATAAGTCGAGTCTGATTGCATGTGTGTGTGTGTGTGTGTGCGCATGTGTGCGTGCGTGTTTGTGTGCGCGCATGTGTGTGTGCGTGTGTGTGTGTGTGTGTGCTCGTGTGTGTGTGCT